TTTTAGTTTTTTGTCACAGAAGAATTTTTAAATTTGAAGTTCTACTATTCTATAACATTGGGCGATGTAGAAATTTTATAATGTCAGACGATGAGACGGAGTAAAACTAACGGGCATATTTTCAAAATTTCTTTGTAACGCACCAAAAACACGTCTGATAAAATTTGTAAATTGAAATTATATTTGGAATGTGCTTTTTTTTAACAAATGTAGAAATATTTTTTCCCATTTATAGTTGAGATTGTGATTGAGTGTAAATAACAAAATCTCAATAGAATCAGTTGAAGAATATAACAGACTCTTAGGTTTAATTCAGTCAAAAATTTTGTTCAGTCGACATTTTCTTCTTCAGTTATCTATTTAAATCTTTTACATCAAGTTTGTTATGCAAGGCGTTTCACATAAAGTGGCAAATAATTTCACAGATTGATCAATTTCCAAAAAATCGTATGGGTGGTAATTATTTATATGCAGGAAAAATGTGGTACATTTTTTTCCAACAGGGTCGCAAACGAGTATACCTGGACCCATACGATTTTTTGCTGAAATTTATGAAAGAGTCATTACTGAAATTATTTGCTACCAAATGAGAAAAACCGTGTATAATTTAAGTAGACAGGACGAAAAGAAAATTAATTTTTTTTTTATTCACATTTTTTATTTTTAATCATCTTTTTAAATGAATTATTTATAAATGCATCAGCCAAAATATATTCTTTTTGATTTTGTATAGAAAATAATATTACTTTAATTATTGATTCAGAATCAGGCATAAATTTTGGAAAACTATCTTGATCTAATAATAAATTTCTAACATAATAGAATCCTGGTTTAATTGGACAAAATTTCGGTAATGTATTTATATTTTTTAATGCTTGAAAAAAAACATATGAAATAATACCAATACTACGATTTTCGAATGCTTTACAATAATCAATTGTAGTATTTGTCATATTTATAAGTAATTTTTTTGATTTATAATTAACAATTAATTTCATAAATAAATTTGTTAATTCTTGATTAATATACCAATCAAAATCCCATTTAACATCATTTGTTTCAGTTGAATAACCTTTTATTGTTGCATTCATTTTAATATTATCAGTTGTTAATTTTATTTTTTTAATTTTAACACAAAAAGTTTGCTATAAATAATTTTAATAAATATTAAAATTTTATACAGTAAAGAAAAATTTTGTTTTACCCTTGCTTCAATATTTAATAAGATTCCAATTAATATTATTATAAAAAATATTGAATTCATTTTAATAATTCCAGTAAATTGAAAATATCTATAGCGACTACTGAACGGATACAAATATATAATTTATCCGAATAGAATTTTCAAATTACTTTTATTATATATTTAAATATTTTCAATTTAAAATATTCTAATATTCATTTAAAACTCTTATTAAGAGCTCATATAATTAATATTTTTATCTATATATAGAGATTTTAATATTTTTAAAACACGCGAACATTTCCCAACAACAAAATGGTTTAAAATAATAGGAAAAATGCTCTAAAATTAATAATTTGTTTCAAGCACATTTCTTTGATATTCAAAAGAGAATAAATTTTTTTTTGAAAATTTAAAATTTTATACGATTTAATTTCAATTTTTCCAATATAATGCAAAATTTGACAAATCTTGGTAAAAAAACCTTTAAAAATTTCAACTTTATTTGACAAAATGTCGAATAAGGTTCTAAAAAAATGAAAAATTAAATTCTATGCTCAAAATATTTAATAAAATTAAAAAGAAATTTCGTATAATCCTTAATTTTGTTAAAATCTAAATTTAATTATAGAAATTTTTAAATATAATTAATTAATAACTCAAAAATTTAATTTATTAACCCCCCATAGTTGCTTATAAATGTCAATCCGCTAAGACGAGCAAATTTTGAATTTTCATTAATAAATCTAGAAATTTTGTTATACTAAATTTTAAATATTCAATACAACTTCGTTTTCTTTAGTTGATATCTAAAGAAATAAATTTATTACTCATTATTTTATAGGACATGCTAAATAAAATATTGCACATGGAACTATTTAGTCACATATATTACTAGCTAATTCAAATAACCATTCTTAATATATAAAAAGTAATTATTTTCTAACATCTATCTGTTAAAAAATTTTAAAATACAATAAGCAATTATTTAATCATTAAACAAATTTCAACATAAAAAATTTTAATATCGTAAACCCTAGGTAAATATTGGTAAAACTTAAAATTAATTAGTTACTCTTAGTTAATCTAGCTCTCACGTTTTTTCAATAATGTTTTATAAATTTTTGTTAATATTAAATATTATGATTTTATTACCAATTCCTTATTTTGGGGTTGGTATTTTCTTCTTAATATTCCAAATTTTTAATATATTTTAAAAATATTAATTTATTTAATATATTTTTTCTCTTTTTCTTATTGTTTTTTTTTTTAAGCAAAAATTTTGTTTTAAAGTAAAATCATTAAGAGTAATACAAAATCGTCTCTATAATAATGTAACATTTGAGGCTCATTCAACAGAAACATTTCAATTAAAATGGCAATTCGATTGGAAACTATTTAAAGAATTGAAAAATCTATTTGTAACAATTGATTTTAAATATAAATCAAAAAATAAAAGTTTAAGTTTAATAAATAGTACATTTGATTATTGTAAAATATATGAAAATGATGGTTTATTAAGTAATATGGTGTCGAGGGCAATTTTTCAAAATTTAAAAAATTTTAATACTATACCAAAAAATTGTCCAATTAAAATTGGTTACTATTATGTTCATGATTTAATTATAAATCAAAGTTCATATCAACAATTTATGCCAATAACAGATTCAATATTAAAAACAAAAATTTTTACAATAAATAAAAATCAAAATATTGTAAATTTAATTAATTTGGATACTGTTATAAATAAAAAAAGAATTGGTTCAAGAAAAATAAATTATTGTCAATAATAAAATGAATTTTTTAAGTAAGTATTTTGTAAATTATAATTATAAAAATTTGAAAAAAAAAATAAATATCAAATTTTTAAAGAAAAGATAATTGGGCTTCAATTGTTCTGATTTCTCTAACAATTGCCCTAAGTCTCGTTGATTTCTTTAAGAAATTTAACACATTTGTTCAAAAAATATTTTTTTTAGTAAACCTATGACAATTGAATTACGACATAACTTTCAGTGTATAGTAATAACCAATAACAACAAAATAATAAGTGCTTTATACAAAATAATTCTTAAAATGTGGTAGGCAAGACTGACAGAATTTTGTAAAATTCTATTTTTAGAAATTCCAATTTAAATAAACCATATTTTTCCGCTTGGTATAAATTTTAAATTAGACACAAAATAAAAAATAAAAATTTAATTTTTATCAAAAATATTAGCAATTTTAATCACTGTTATGAGCACACACCTGTAATAGAATTATTTATTATTCTAATTAAGAAGTGCTTAACTAGAATATGTTAAAAATTTTTAATATTACATTCGCTCAGATTTTTTAACAGAAATTCCAAATTAGAATTTAACCTCGTTAAGAATTCAATAACCGTGATGATGACCATTACAAAAAATTACTAAAATAATCACTAATTGTTGTCTTATAATAACTTAATTTTTTTTTTTTAGAATTAGTGAGAAAAATATTAGTAACTGTTATAGTAAATTATTAAGTAACTATAGTAGGTTTTATAAAGAAAATATGAAATTTTTACTTTTATTATTAATTACTTTTATAACTGATGGAGAAAATAAAGTATGATAATTACTTTACTTTAATTTAATAAAATATTTTTTGAATATCCAAGTTTTCTCATTAACACATCTTAGACTACTATTTAAATTACTTTTTAAATTTTTTTTATTTTATCTTACATTTTTTATCATTTTAGCAAAATTTTTGTGTTAAATTAAAAGCATTACAAACTAAATCAAATCAAGAATATAACATTATAAATTTAAACGTAACTCATACAAATACTGGAGATCAAGCATGGTCATTTTTTTGGCATGTATTTAAACCAATACAAGCAATTTTCTTACACGCTGAAGTTATTATAAAATCAAAGAAAATAAGAATTGAAATAACAAATAGTACAATAGATGCTTGTAAAGCATTCGATAATCGTGGATTAAATTTTATTGCATTTACATTTTTTCAAGCAATTAATCATTTTAAAACCGTACCACATTCATGTCCAATAAAACCAGGATTTTATTATATAAAAAATTATACTGTTAATCAATCAGATTATCCACAAGTATTACCAAATTGTGATTCTGATTTAAAAATTCATTTATATTGTATTGAAGGTCAAAATAAAATACATTTATCAAATATATGTGTACAAAATAATTGGGATAAAATTCCAAAAAATAAAAAATGTAAAATTTAATATAAAAAGAAATAAAAACAATAATGTAATTATAAATATGTATGTAGTTTTTATCTATAAATTTAATTTAAAAATAATAAAATAAGAATAGTTGAACGTAAATTAAAAAAACAAATTAATACAGATTAACGAGAATTTTTGAAAAGGTGATTATATGCAAAGTCCATGTACGGAAATAATTTAAATTTTCTCTGAACAGAAGCCCAAAAAGAAAAAATATAAAAAAATAGGCGACGACTATAAATTATGAGAAACTAGGAGACTATACTTTCCAAATTATGAGAAAATAACACCTTATTTCATTATTTTCAAAATTCATCGTCATTAGAAAGTTATTGTTATGTCTTTTTCAAAATTTTACAAAAACAAATAGGGCCATTTCCAAAATTATTTATCAAGTGAAAACCAAATTTCCATATTGTAAACTCTTAAGTGCCCTCACAAAATTGCCCAGCAAAATCCGATATTGATATAATTTTAATAATTAACCTTAGCAAATTTTTTCTAATTTTATTTTTAATTAAAATAAAAAGGTCCTTTCATGGAAAAACTAATTACTTATCCTATATTTCTTTTTTTTTACAGAAAACCCTTTTTTTAAATTGGCTATGAGGAGAAAATTTTCTACAACAACAATATGTCAAATATCATTACTACATACAACTTTAATTTGTCTAATATTAATTATAAGTTTAAGTAGTTCAATTAAAAGTGCAATTGTACCGCCACCATGGAGTGATCCTGAAAAAAATCCGTGCGCCTTAATGCCAGGCGGTTGGCAACTTTTATATTGGCCGCCATTAAAAAAATGCTTTAAAATATTTTCCGTTGGATATCCATGCCCCGACACAATGGAACTAAGTCCTGCAACATTGACGGGAAAACAAATGGCAAAGTTAGGTATAACCGCTGAATGTAAATGCCCACCTGGAACAGCACAAAGCCGTAAAAATCAAAAATGTTATCAATTATTTGAGCAAGGTCCTTGTTCAAAAGGAGAATATTTTAATGAAGCACAAGAATCAGTAGGAAGAAAGTATATAATAAAATTGAATATTTAATATAAATTTATGTGCCAATATGTAAGTGAATAATAATTTATTTATAGACCAACAATACGATGGGGAAAATGTGAAAAGCCCAGACCATGTCCAAAAGGAATGCTATTTTGGCCAAGAGATACAAAATGCTATACAAAATTTACAAGGGGGCCATGCCGTAAAGGCAAACTACTTGTTTTAGATGATGATGAAATTGCAAGATGCGCTGTAAGTCTATATTAGTTCGTTTTCATTCATAGCAACTAATTATATAAAATATTACAATTTATTTAGTGCAGTAATTCAAAAGAACTAAAAGAGTACTTTTTCGAAGCAGAAGAAACTTGTCACGAACATTTTACTAAAGGTCCATGTACTGGACATGGACATATTTTTCTACCAGGCGGAACGTGTGGTTGTAATCCATTGATGCCGCATTATCACTATGAGACCAATCAATGCTACGAACTAGGTATATAATAAAATTTAAAAGTCGACACTTATTTGCATTCTGAATTTTTAATTTTTTTAAGGAACACAGGGACCATGCCCTCAAGGTCATATTTATACAATACCAGATGATCAATCAAATCAACAACAATATCATCAACCATTAAAAGCAAAATGCCAATGTCGAGATAATTATGTTTTATGGCAAAATGATGGTATTTGTTATAGACTTTATACCCGTGGACCATGTGATGCTGGAGAATTTTTAGTTAATAGTACGAATTGCATTAAAAATACGTGTGGGAAAGGGCGACTCTTTTTTCCAGAACAAAAATCATGTTTCAAAATTGGTTCTCAAGGACCATGTTCCTTGCATGAAGTTGTAATATTTGATTTTACTGCAAAACCATCAGTTGATGGTATTTCTTATAATGGTATATGCGGTTGTTCGGGTGTATTGAAGAATTTAGATCAACAATGTACCAATGCTGCCCTTGATCCAAACGAGAATACATGTGAATCTTCTCCCGGAATGGTCGAATTGAATGGCAAATGTTATAAATTATATACAAGAGGTCCATGTGGACCAGGTCAATGGTTAGAACCATTTAAAATTAATGGAGAATTTAGTGAAAAATATAAAAGAATGACTAGTAGGGCTAAATGTCAATGTCGTCCCGGTTATGAAAATTATCAAAATCAAGAAGATAATGGTAATATCGTTAAGGGTTGTTATGCTCCAAATGTTGGTATAGCAAGGTATTTAAATCATCAATATTCAAACTATACATATAAATTTCGAAAAATTTGAATTTAGTCTATTAAATTTTTTTTTCCTTAATTTGTTTTGTATAAATTTAATATATGAATATGTGATATTTTTAGTACAATCGCACTATAAATGTAGATTAAATCTATAAAATTTCTCATAATCTACACTAGTATTGATATTAAAAATGTATATTATTAAGATTAATTTTCATTTTTCCAATTTATGTAAATAATAATAATTAGTTTTCTTTAATATTATTAAAATATACTTATACATGTATTTTACGTAAAAATTTCTACTTTCTAGATTAACTTACCTTTTTTGAAATTATAAAATTATATAATTACGTGTTTTTATTTACAATTTAATTCAACAATATTTTCTTAAACAACCACAATTTAAACAAAAATTATATATTATTTTTTATATAGGTGGTTTCTACAATTGTTAGGATATGGAAGTTCATGAAAGTCTAATAGCATAATATTGATATTTCATTCGCTTTTATTTTGCAAAAAGATCTAATTATATGAGATGTAATGTGAACAGAATAAGTTAGTAAATGTATAATGTATAGTAGTTAGTTTGAATAAAATTTATTCGAAATTCATTTAAAAATTTTTTACGAATTGCAATAGAAACGTTCCTTCACATTTGCAAATTTAAATCAAAATGTTTGAAGTCTGTATAATAATATATGATTTAACAACTAACTTTTGATTTAGATCTTTAATTTACTATAATTCAAGTAGTGCGACAAAATTGAAAAGTTAAGACTTAAATTTTAAAAAGTCTTAAATTAATGAAAAAATAATATCTAGTAAAATTATCAAGTCCCTAATTATAATCATAAAATGATAATCTTAGATTTATTATTACTAGATTTGTTAAGTGCATATTTTATAATAAGAATTCTATTAAATGTGTTATATAAAATTTTGTATTTTACGAAATATCATGCAATATTAGAATATTAAAGTATTTTTAAAAATAAAAACTAAATCAAAATCTTGAAATTAAGTGTTTGATCAAGCAATATTTGTTTCAATTTATGCTAATAAACTTTTGGTCTAATATCATTTATTATTTGAGAATTTTTGAAAACGTTTGCAAACAGCTATTCAAATGCATATGTTTATGATTGAAAATACTTTGAAACAAACTAAAAACTGATTTCCCTAATTACATTTCCAGTTAATTATATTCAAGTTTTTGAAATTGATTAAATAGAAAAGAAAATTTAAGTTCTTGTCCTCTGCGAAATCAAGTTTTGCGATGTTAAATTAACTAGTGATATATTAAATTACTATATATTAAAAAAAGAAAAAAACTTACTCGTATTTTTGTTGGAATTCCTGTCCAGTCGAATCTAAGTCTTTATTTCTTCTTGTTAATGATTTCAATTCACTTTCCAATTTATAAATCTTTTCAGTTTTAGCATCTAGTTCAGTCTAAAATAAATTTTTAAGATTTTTTCTTATATTTCAAAGTACAGAAAAATTCAATAGTAAAATTATGTACATTTATTTCGGAAAAACAAATATTACTAAAATTTAAAAATTTTTAAATTTTTTTTAATGTTCATTCCGAAATAAAATTAAACTTCTAATTACAATAATTTTATCCTTCTCATTTTCTATTGTGCTATTAATTGATTTCAAAGCAAAAATTTCATTTTTCAATGCATCCAGTTCATTTCTTGTGGTGGTACGATTTGTGTCAAATGATGTTAAACGAGCTTCCGCATTTTCGAGTTGTGTTTCAGCTACAGCATATTTATTTTGTACATCCACCAATGCTTTTTCAGTTTGATCTTGAAGAATCCTTTAATTAGAAAAAATTAATTACATGTTTTGTATTTTTTGATTTTTAGCAAAAATTTACTTTATTTGATTGTAAGAAGTTTTTAGCTTAGAATTCTCGTTTTGTAATTCGTAAACACGTTTTTTCAATGTCTCTATTTCTTCTTTCATTAGCACTATATGAGTTTGTCCAGGGATTTGGGCAGTTTCAATTTCACGTTTTTCTCTTTCTAAACACAAAATTTTATTGTTCAATTCATCAATTTCGTCTTTAAGTCTTTGTGATTCTTTATATTGTGTTTCAGTTAAGCACTGCAAACGTTCACGTAATGAATCACGCTCTAATTTTATTCGTTCCAGTTCTGCTTTAACAACGTCCCTTTCGCGTTCAGCACGTATTATAGCAGCTTGAACGGTATGCGGATAATGATTTGATGCAGTTGTACTTGAAGAGCATGGTCTCGGTGGGAATTGCCTGTCACGGTACGAATGCGGTTCCATTGGATGATGATGATGATGATCATGGTACATTTGCGATTGTTGATGATATGGTGCATTTGGAGGATTTTGCTGATGTTGCTTAAAATCCATTAACTCAGCCCGTAAATTGCGCAATTCTTCATCTTTTGATTTTATTTGCGTTTGTAAAAATTCTAATTCTTTTTCTGATCCCGCTTTGTGAATTAAACTTAAGTATTCCTTGTGAAAGAAATCTCTCTCAGATTTTAGCCGCGCTCTTTCATCCTCCATAAATTTATGATTACATTCTGATTTATCCTCGTTACCTTATCAGAAAGGTAAGAAATTTAGATTAAAGATCTTATAATAAGTAGAAAAAAATTAATAATATACCTTTGTGCATCGCCATTAGCTTGTATTTTAATTTTTCATTTTTTTTATGCATTCTTTCTATTTCATACGACATTTCACGCTCCCTAGCTGTCAGTTCATTTAGTCTCTCATGAAGTTTTCTTTTTTCATCTAAATTACAGTTTTTGGATCCTGCCATTGTGTCATCGTACTCTAACAAATTTGAATCTTCTAAGTGACCTGGTCGTAAAGTCTTTTTAATTTTTTGTATTTCTAAATAAAGTTTTTCGATTTCTTGTTCTTTTTCATTGATTTCCTCATTAGCTTCTTTTTCAAGTGACAGTGCTGTATTTTTTAATTCTTCTAATTCTTTTTCCAATATTTTATTTTGTTCTATCAAATCTAAAGCTCTCTGTTTTGCTTCATGCATATCACTTTCACATTCATACAATTTTCCTTGAATTTCATTTTTTTCTCGTTGTAGTAAATCCAAATCTTCTTTCAAAGGGCCAATATTGCGATAACAACAATCTCGTGCTAATGCCGCCGCAGGTCGCCCTCCTTGCAACAATTCGTTCAAACGTTTTATTTCCCGATCTCTTGCCTCTACCTGTTTTTTCAATATAATACTTTAATTAGTAGATTTTTTAATTGACAAGGTAAAAAAAAAAATAAGAATTGTTCACTTTAGTCCTGCGGATCACACCAAAAAAAATACAAATTCTTTAAAATCAAAAATCTGTAATTTATCTCAGTTTTTTTTAAGTTTAAAAATTATGAAAATATTTTTTAAGGCGCAAAATTAATTTCTACCTTATTTTTAAATAAAGATACTTCGTCTGACCGATCCTTCAAATAGTTCTGAAGCCTTTCTATCTCTTGTGGCTCAGGTGGTCCATATGCTTCTTGTTCACGCGGGCTTCCACCATCTATTATTAAACGTTTAAACAAAGTTCTATTGCATTTTGCACATTTACGTTGCTGATGAGGATTAAAAGGTGGATTTGGCAAAAAAACTCCGGATCTAACTGTGGTTATAAAAGCAGGTCTTTTAATCATATTAGTCCCATCTTTTTTATTTTTGAGCACTTTCGTGTCGGAGTATTTAATTACTAATTCTCGTACTTGATTTTCTAATTCTGCACAATGTTCTTCCAAATAATTTTTATCTGTTTCTAAATTACGAATTTTCTTTGCGTAGTCTGAAAATATTGAAAAACAGTATGTTCTACGTATAAAAATTATTTTTTTAATTTAAATTTAATCTCAAAACATAAAAATCTGATGTATTGTTTACCACATAAAGTTTCTTCGAATTTCTCTCTTTGTTTTATTAAATCAATGTTAAGTTGATTAACTTCATTAATAAGTCTTGAATTATCACATTTATATGGCTCAACTCCTAGTTCCCAACAACTTTTCTCCTAAAATCAATGTATTTTAAAACTTATAAACGCAAATTACTTAATTACTACAAATAGTCATATCATAGGTCTTTTCAAAATGAATAATCAATAAATTAGAATCTATTGAGTACATGGATATGACCTAAATAAAATAACATAACAAAAATATTTTAAACAACACAATATTTAAAACTCTAGTGGACTAATTTACCTACCTCTAACAGTTCAGAAATTTTTTTTTTAGCATCACGCAAACTCTCTGTTGTTTTCACCTGTTAACAAACAAAAAATATTTTTGTTTATTTAAAGCGGTTAAAAATTTCAAAGCTTTAAAAAAAGCTAATATACCCACTTGTATTTTACTCTACTGATTTATTTTAACTTACCAAATCTTCAAAAATACTGGAAACTAAAGACAATGCCGATAGTGGTAAAGGCTGCGTATATCCAAGTACATCTAATTTCTGTCGCAAATTATTAAATATCCCATCTATATTCATGCTGAATTTTCATTATTTTAAATCACAGTGCAAATTTTAACTTATTAAACAATTTAAAAAATAATATTTTTAATAAATAAAATTTAAATTTTCAAAAGAGAAATGTCAAATAATTTTTAATTTAGATTGTTCACTGGTCACAACAAAAAACCCAATCAACATTACCAAAACGACAAACATCTACAAAATGACAACCTGAAATGTCAATTTCACGACATCTAGTGTTTATTTATATATATATTCTTTCTCTTATTATTCTATAAAATGTACATTTCATTGGTCAATCAGTTTCATGACGAGCTGATGAGTGACGTAACTTGTGTGAAATTGTATCTCTTTTCTCCCTCTGAAAAAGTTTAACTTTTTTGATTTGATTCGTATAAGGCAAGCTATATAAATTTTTTTTTAATATTAATTTTTTTGATGAAAAATAATGAAATAAATATCATTTTGAAATTATTTAATCCACGCAAGTAGTGGATCAGTAAATTTTAAATCATTGTATTCTTTAAGCTTCTATTATCAACCACTAGGTGTACTACATATTACGTTAAATTCATATAGTGTTTAGCAACAATTTTACGAGGCATGTTTCTGATCCATTTTTTTCGCCTCGTCAGTGAATGTCAAAAATTAGGGAAACCTTTCAAAAATATTTCAATATTATTGTTTTTGATCCCGAAAACCTTTAAAGTACAAATTAAATATTTTAAATAACAAACAAAAAAACTATACAACTAAGTTTATTAACTTCCGATATTTTCTTTTTATCCATTAATTTTAATTATACAAAACTGAAGCTAAAAATATTGCTGACATCATTTTTCTAGAAATATAATAATGGTGTTAGATATATGGGCACATGGTACAAAAGAAAACCCAAATAATTTAGTAAATAAGAATCGTAAAGTTTTGGATATGTTCAATCCTAATCATGTAAAATCCATTGCCGTCAATAGTAATGGAGTCCAATCGAATAATGAGAATGTAGAAGACATTTCCTCAATACCGTGCAATATTGATACAAATTTTGCGCGGGATACTAATGCTTCTAATGTGTCTCACATATCATCTAATGGATATTATGGATATTGTGGTATTGTAGCGAATACTAATAAAACAGATCATTTTATGGATTCAGATACAAAAATGGAGTTTGAATCTTGTTTTGAAAACAAGCAATCGGAACGTAAAAAACGTGGTTTTACTGAAGAGCTCCCAGAAGAATATGACAGCAAGAGATTAAAGCACGACGATGAAATATATGACAGTAATTTTGTTCTTATATTTTTGTAAAACAATGTTTATCAAAATTTTTTAATAACTTAGATTTTCGTCAAGTATCGTTTGATCCCAATGCTACATCAATCGCTTTTACTAATACAACGGACAATCAGAATCTTAATGAAGAAAGAAATTCTACACAAATGGATTTGGACCTGATTCAAACAAATGATTCAGAAGTATCATTGATAAATAAAGTTGAAAATACAAGTAATTATTCCAATAACCATAATAATAGGTTTAATAATAAGATTTGCACATATTTTGATACAAGTAGATGCATGTCATCCCATATGATTTAATATAAATGCAAGAGAAATTGAAATAAATTTAATAACGAATTACAAAATGATTCGATATTTAAAATATTTAAAAATTCTTACCTTACATAATATGTTTGTTTAATTAAAAATTAGAAATCTTTAAATTTCACAAATGAAATGAATTTAATTTCAAATGTAAAATATGTGCTAGATTTAAGAAATCCGAAAGGAATTAAAATTAACGCTTTGGCAGTCAGAATGTGGACATGTACCTTGATAGTTTTTTGTGAATGTAGATTTTAGAGAATACAATAATTTGTTAATTAATTAAAATAATAATGAAACTATATTTCCACGTAAATTAAATATTTTTTAATTTACACAAAGAAATTATTTTTTATATATGTATGTACAATATTAATGTTTATTTCCCGTAACTATTAAAAAATAAACTTAATAGAAATTTAAAACATTCCCTTCTATAATTTTTATAGATTTTTTCTTTTTCCTTTTCTTCCTATAAAAACAATTATTTAGATATTCTAATTAAAAAGCAAAATACAAAATAATTAAAAACGAAATTTTGATTTATACTGATTTTTTCTAATTGGTTTATTATTTTAATCTTTTAAGTTATTTGAATTCTAATTTTGATTTTTCTCCTTATATTTCCAGACCAACTTATACATTTAAAACAAAATTCATTATTTGAATATAGTTTGCAGGAAAATATTAAAAATGATAACAAAATAAATAAATCTAATGAAAATAAAAGAAACATCTCATACTATAAATACAATAAAAATAATTTTAAGCAATTAAATAATACAGAGAATTTATTAGAAAATTTATTTATGTTAACGCACGGTGGTAGTAATTATCAAATTTGGCAACATTATGATGTTAATATAGATATATAGTAACTTTGATAATTCTAAATTAAAAACAAAATTTTAATAAATCGAATTAGTTTTGTAATATAAATTTAAATTTTTATTTTTTAAATATTTACTTGCATTATTGTATAAATGTTGAGATCAAAATGAAAAATTACTTATATGTTAAAAGTAAAATTTTACTTAAAATAAAGATTTTGAAAAATTCATGGATGGCATTTAATTTAAATTGTTTTTAAGGTTTTTTTTTTCTAGTTTCGACATATTTTCAAATTAAATTAAAATTTTCTACATTATCATAGTTCTTTTATTGTTTTATTTTTCTATGAGTACCTATTAGGAAGATATAAAAATTTAATCTTTAATAGAGCGTCTTTTTTTTTCCTCAAAAAAGTTTTATTTCTGATTGAAAGTAGATCAGCTAGTCCTTCTTTTTAAATTTAAATAAACTACAATATTAGTGTTTGTAGACTCTTTGACAAAATGAATAGTTTATGCGTTATATAACTTTACCATTTATCATAAACGGTTATATTAGACAAATTAATAAAAGTTTTCAATATTTTATGTTAATACTCGGTATGTAATTCAAAACATCTGAATATTCCATGACTAAATTTATTTCAAATACTATTCGCAAAAAAAATTTATATATATGTGATTTATTTTAAAACTGTTAAGCTATTTGAAATTTAAAAATACACATATGTAGCTACACGTCGTTTTTAAATGTATTTGTATAATTTTAAAAATTATGCGTTAAAATATTGAAGGCTATAATTTTGAACTTGACTGATAACAAAATAAACTTAACGCATAAAAGAAAACTAACAAAAAAAAAAATTAATACACGACGAAAGTACAAAAATGTGATATAGACACCGAAGTCAATGAATCACAAAATGTAGCTTGATCTTGTATTTATGAGGTATTTATCAAGTAGGCTTGGAAATATATATTGTATATGTACATATTATGGAGATCACCGTCATTACAAAATCAATTCAATATAAAATTTTAAATAATCATGAACACGTTCAAAAAGGTTTATTTACACTTTACACGATTACACGGAAGACAATAACTTTTAATTTTTTTTTCATTATATTATCTCTGTTAACTTACTTATTTCGTTATTGTTTTATAATATTTTAACATTGAAAAAGTTTTGTTCTCTTTTATAAACGGTGCAAAATGTATATACCTTCATATCAACATGTAAAAATTATGTAATTTTGTAATTTGTAGGTTACGAGTATTAACAGCCGTCGTCGAAAATTATCAATTTTAGATAAATTTTTGAATGATCTAGTCCAAATTAAAATATACAATGTATAAAATATATTTAATTATATTTTACTTCTATAAAATTAATTTTTTTTATATATTAAACCACCCTCAATAAAAAAAAAAAAACAAAAGAAGAAAAAGTCATAATTCAGGCAAAAATACCTACCTTACCTACTATACGAAAGCTCTTTGATATATATGAAGTGTTCATGTATGTATGTGAATAACGAAATATGAAATATTATAGGTATTATGTATACTTACGAGTACTTCATTCATCGTTCATTAAAACTAAAATTTCAAGGACCTTATTTTTAACAATACAATGCGATAATGAATAAGTATGTTATGCTCTGTATATAAAAAATATCTTAGTATTTTTTTTTTTCTCTTTTTTTCTTTTTTTTTCATTAATTGTAATATATATATATACTGCAAACAATAAAAATTCTTAATCATAATTAAAAATTAGTATTACGAGGATCAAGTAATTTCTTTCTTAATTTTTTTTTTTAAATTTTGCCAAAAAAAAAAACTATGAATTTTACTAGTTTTTTATATTTTTATATAATGATTTTTTTAAATAAAACTGCATTTACTGCTAATATTGGAAGATGTAAGTATAAAATATAATGCATATTTATATAATAAAAATACATACATGCCAACATACATACGTACTTCAGCACTTTACAAAAAACTACATAAAATTACATAACATACGCATATGATCATCAAAATTTAAAAAAACTTATTATAAAAATTCCATTATTACTTAAACTTGATTATTTGATTTCTTTGAAAAGTTTGTTATTGGACCACACTAAAGGCAAAGGACCTCATATTCTAATTGACTTAAAAAAAATATAATAAAGAAATTTTATTAATTAAAATACATAGATTTTTAAACATTCTACGAATTCAACTGAATTTATTATTTCAAACAAAATGCTGAAGCAGTATACTCGTAAAATCATGGGCCCTATATTTGTACGATGACAGATTTTATAGATCTAAGCCAAGATCTCTTAAAAGAAAACTCAAATCTTCTTATCCCAAAAATTTTTTTGAACTTTCTCAATTCGTTTAATAATGATATGAGGGAGGAGGCGAACCACACACTTCTATTTTGCACCTGACGTACGCCAAACACGTACATACATATATAATTACATAATATATTATATGTTATACAAGTATACATATATATCACGTTAAGTACAGTCCAAAATAAGAATTTTAAATAGAATTCCTCCTATTGGTCAAAATTAGCATTAAATTAGTATATAAATCACAAATATGATTTATAAGCTAAAAAGAGTGCGGTGAAATAGTAATAAGAAGTTGAGAACGCATCATCTGTCTGCGTCCAAAATAAATAATAATATTGTACTTAGGTAACACAAATGAAAATTATACATATGTACCTACATACATATATGGGTGTATGAATACAATTTGTGCCCCTTTTATTAGTTTCCTACTTAAGAAAATAATTTTTTTAATTTAAAAGTTTAATTAACTTTTACTCTAATTAATCCGTTCACTTAATTAAATATAGGGAAGTTAATTTCCATTTACATTCAAAATCTAACCCGTACTTTTTCATTTCAACTTTAATCAATGAACTTAAAAAATTGAATGGTATATAAAAAGATGCAAATAAACTTTTCAATGTTAATTTTATTTTTGTTTTTTTAACTACACAAAAGTAAGTGTTATACACCCAATAAATTATGCACATATGTATATACCTACATAATATATGTGCATAGATATTCACAAACGATAGATTAATTAATTACAAATTGTTTATGATTTATGACGCTTGTTCTGAATTAGTTTCAGTTTTTTTCCGTATTTAAATAATAAAAATAATCAAGTTCAATCATCACATACACATAAGTACATAAAAAAACATTCATTAAAATTTTAAAATTAATACAATACACGTGTTTTATCTGGTAGAAAATTTTATTAAAAAGTTCCTATAAAACTTACATATTTATTTTACATAATTGTTTATTGTGAATGATAAAAGTATGCCTTATGAAATTTTTATAGTATCTTCCAACTTTTGTTTTACTAAAGAAGGAAATCATAATAAACGAGATCCTCGAATAGTTGGTGGAAATGATGCAGAAAAAAATGAATTTCCCCATATGATTAGTTTAAAATTTCGTGGTGGACATTTATGTGGTGGTAGTATTATAAATGAAAATTGGGTATTAACAGGTAAATTGAAAATAATTTACTATTTTCATATTCACACTGTACAGAATCATTTTTATACATTTTCATTTGTTTGTGTCAATCATGCTCTTTATTGATGTTCTTCACATCGTTTAGCTGCTCATTGTCTTTGTAATGGATTTAATGAACAAGTTAAAATTACCCTTATAAAAGGTGTAGCTGGATTATATAAAATTTCTGATAATGATAAAAATTTTGAAAGTGCAGAAAATTATAAACCGTATGAGTTTAATTTCAAAAGAGCTGTAATTCATCCTAAATACAAATGTGCAAAATCTGATAATGATTTAGGTAATTGCATAAATGTAGCATAATATATGAATTATGTTTGTACAGGTACCTTACTGGCATACATAATAAGTAATATTTTATTACCACAAATGTACTTATAATATACTCTTGTAGCTCTGTTAGAAACGGAAACTCCTTTTATCTTCAATGAGCATATCAAACCGATTTGTTTTGCAAATAATTTGGAAAAGGAAAAATTATATGAAAATTCATTAGCAACAGTTATTGGTTGGGGATGGACAAATGAGGATCGTTCTCAAGGTGTTCGGTCAGATATTTTACAAAAAGCGAATGTTAGAGTTTGGAATAATGTTCTATGTCAGCAATCTTTTGCAAATAACCACAAGAAGAATATAATATTGGAAACGCATTTGTGTGCTGGATATGAAAATGGAGGAATTGATTCATGTTGGGTAAGGTTAAAAAAATTACCGTTATATATGTGCGCATATCTATGTATAACATACTTGCATAAGTGGTAGATTATAATATCAATAATGTACGTATGCAATATAATTATGTGTGTATGTAATTAAGTACTATTGAGGATGGAGATTACATATATTTATATAGTTGTTTAGATTGTATTTAGTTGTATACAGTACGTTTACCGTTTAAATTTTAAGTTTGCCCTAAGTTTTTCTCGTCCTTATCCGAACAATTCACTGCTGTTTAGTTTAAAATAAATTAATAAATAAAAGATTTAGTCTAAAGGAAGCATGGCGTAAACTGTTTCTTTTGCCTATATGCCTACACAATATATTTAATTTATAAACAAACATAACATGTCAGACATCTTACGATAATTTTAAAAATTAATTTTTTTTTTTAATTTTTTTAAGGCTGATTCTGGTGGGCCACTTATATATGAGAATAAATTGATTGGAGTTGTTTCAACTGGAATAGGTTGCGCTAGACCAGGATTGCCTGGAATTTACACAAGAGTAAACAGATATATTGACTGGATATTGGATGTTTTGGAAACTTAAAATATTTGTAATCTTATTATATTTTAGTATCTATTCAAACTGTGATATTTAGAATAAATTATTTACAAAAAAAGAAAATATTCTAATAAATTCTTGAAAAGAAAAACCTTTTATATAGATATGTTGTCAAGTTAAACAGACCTAGTTTTCTTTTAATTCTTTTATTTCTAAACTAATTGTATATTAATAATTATTAAATATAATTATTTATGCTAAAATAAGTTTTATGTGCTCCTACAATTGTTATATAATTTATAAAATTAGTTCTAATATTCGCCACGGGAATTTAAAGTATTTTACTTACAAACGAAAATCGAAGGCAGCACTCGCATTTAACGAAAAATGACTTTTATTCAAAATGTCAAATTATATATTTGACATTTCTAAAAATTTCAAAGCCGACTCGACAAACTTTTTTCTGACGTGTCGTCAAAACCTAAGAGGTGCATTTAATTAAATTTAAATATAATAAAGTTTTTAGGTCCTTAGAATAGTATTAAATTATTACTTATAATCCATAAGATTTATAGAGTTTAAACGAAATTTAAATAACATAGAAAATGCATACAGTTCTTACGAGAGGGAATGCTATATTAGCTTATTCTCTCAGCCTTTTAGCATGCTTGACTTTCTGTTGTTTCGTTTCAACAGTATTTCTAGATTATCGAACTGAAGCAAAAATTAATACTGTTAAAGTTTTAGTGTAAATAAAAACGTCTTTTTTTTTTAATAAAACAAAAACAAAATATATGTATTTATTTTAGTAAAAATGTACCAGACTATGGAGCTTCAAGAGAAAAACATGATTTGGGCTTCCTAACATTTGATCTTCAAACAAATTTGACAAGCTTGTTCAATTGGAATGTAAAACAGCTTTTCTTATATTTAACAGCGGAATATCAAACAAAAGATAATGTTTTAAATCAAGTTGTTCTCTGGGATAAAATTATATTAAGAGGGGAGAATACTGTATTAGATTTTAAGAATATGAACACAAAATATTATTTCTGGGATGATGGAAATGGCTTAAGGTAAGTAAATATTAAGTTACAAAATCTTCAAATGTAGTCATGTTGCAACAAATCTCAGTTGCAAAAAAAGCACGTTCGAAATTCATAGCATAGTTTAAGTTCTAAAGTTTCGTCACAGATCTGAAAAAGTGAGCTAGTTAGTTCTTGTAAATTTACAAGATGCAAAAAAAGATTTTTAAGATTTAAGTTAGGTCTTTAAGTGCATATCTGAGTTATCGAAAATCTCGTTTGCGACTCGTATTTTATCATAACTTTTAGGCATTGATATTATGTATTTATACATACATATATACGTACATAATATTAATCAGGTCGGCCAAACAAAACTATTACCTATAACTAGTGAAAAAAAAATTAGTAAACTATTTTATTCCTAGAAATTTTTTTCAAATTAAAAAAAATTAAAAAATTATGTTTGTTTTTTAGGGGAAATCCAAATGTTACACTAACATTGTCTTGGAATATAGTGCCGAATGCTGGACTTCTACCAAGTGTGTTTGCATATGGATCACATTCATTTAAATTTCCAATAGATTATTCAGTTTCACCAGTTTAGATAAAGAAATTTTTTGTTACATAAAAAAAAAGGATTTAAATTTGTTTATTTTGAATGATTTAGAAAAACGAACATATGAGTGGTGTTAAATTTTTCGAAATAAAAGTTCTTTAATAATATGTTTAGTTTTTTTTTTTTTTTTAATAAAAAATACGAATTTTAGAAAAATATTTTCGAATACTTTTTATTATTCTTTTAAATTCAAATTACCAGCCTTAGCATTATTTAATAATTCTAAAATATAACTTTCTCTTGCTAACGCTCTATTTGTACAAATCTCCATCTGGTTTTGACTAAATGGTGTACCGCCTGGTTTAAAAACAAAACAAACATCGGAATTGCATATTGCAATTGTTATCATTGTACTGGACAAATCTTCCTCTTCCGAAGTAGGATCAGTTACAATAATATTGCTAAAAAAAATAAATATTACATTATTTATTACTAAAACTATTAAATTCGTTTGCTATGCTGGGTGTATAAATTAAAAATTCTTATTACTTTAAATCAAACCTTACTTACTCATCAAACACCATAAGAGTTGTAGCAACAGGAAGAGAATTTATTTTAATTTTACTTCTTTCCTCGACGTTTACAGAAATGCTGTTAATATCGGCATCATAGTCAATTTTGGGTAGAGTTAAATTTTTTAAAGCAGCCAAAGCAGCTACTAAAGCCGTATCTAAGACACAGCCATCATGATTTAAACAAACTATATCCAAATATATTGCCCATACTAAACGTTCTTTACAGATACACAACTCTTTCAAATCGACACATCTTGCATTTGTTAATATATCATAAAGAGTACAAGTTAAAACATCAGCATCTTTATTCGCTATTTTAAAACTTGAATCATTTTCACGATATTTTTTTGAACATATAGGAGGTAATTCAATACTAGGCACTAAAAACCCGCTTTCTGGAGTTTCAGCTTTTGGTTTAGCCAACTCAGCTCGAATTCCGCAAACAATGTTTGTGTTACCAATTTTTACAATTGCTGATCCATCAGCAGTGTTAATTGAACCGATATTTAAAGCAATTGGACGAAATTTATCAAATTCTCTTCCGTCTGGTCTTATGTCGTTGATAAGGTAATCGCGGTAATATTTCACGGGGTAAATTAACCTAAAATAAAAAAGATGTTTTAATTTTATATTTGTACAAAGCAGCAAAACATTAGATTGTTTTATAATAAAGTAATAATAAAAACAAATGCAATACTTATATTGCTCGGCCATATATTTTTCTGTTGTAATCCTTACAAAAACATTTAAAAATTAATAATTGGATTTTTAGAAGGAAAAACTCAAATTGTGTACTTTATTTTTATTTACAAAAAATTAAAACAGGTAAATAAAATAGAAGATCTGTCATACACACACATCATGCATGTGCAATTTTTGAAATATCGTAAAATTATATTGAGTATAATTTAAATTCACAATAATTTATAATTAGTATATATTGTGAATCAAATGGTGACTTATTTTCAAAGAGGAGGTGTAATCAATAAAAGGAATATTTTTATTTTTTCAAATTTAAAGAAGTTTCTTTGAAAGAAAGGAGATTCGAAAAATTATAAATATTTTTTAAAAATATTTTGGAGTTCGCTAATTTTTCTTCTTGTTTTCATTTTAGTCTCCGACAAAATCTCAACGTAGATTTCAGAGCTTAATTTACCATAACTAATTTGACACTGAGCAAAGTTATATCGTATTTTTTTTTATTGACACAACGTAGCATATTTGCTACGTAACTGAGAACAAAGTCACATCCTTGTCTTTTTGGAATGTTGCATTTTGGCCATATGATTTTGTTTATTTACTCTTGATAAGACGATAAGGCTGTAGAGGAATAATAAGACTGTAAGAGTTGATAGTTGAAAAAGTATTGTATCTGGAAAAAAATCATCTTTGCAAAATAATTTTAAATTATTTGGCAACTTTAGTGAAAACTTAAAAATGGGTTTTGCTAACAGTATTAAATTTTTACAAAAAATTAAATTCGCAAGCCGAATGTTTTCTACCCAAGTTAAGGAAAAGAAAATTAAAATATCATCAGATATTTCCGTGAATATTGTTGAATCGGGGCAAGGTAAAAAAAGTATATTATGTATGCCAGGAGCACTAGGATCTGCCTGGACTGATTTTAAACCTCAAATAGAGTTATTGCCAAAACTGTTACCAGACTATAAAATTATAGCTTGGGATCCACCAGGTTACGGTAAATCTATACCGCCTCAAAAACAATTTGGCTTGGATTTTTTTAATAAAGATGCTGAATATGCTCATCAATTAATGTTAGAATTAGGATCACCCAATTATTCAATATTAGGTTGGAGTGATGGTGGTATCACTGCTATAATTTTAGCTGGAACAAATACAAAAGCTGTGGAAAAATTAGTTATTTGGGGTGCTAATGCTTTTATAAACGAGGAAGATGTAAAACTTTATGAAGGTATAAAATTTCATAATGCATTATGTTAACATATTAACAAGTTTCTATTCAATAAATTTTTGTAAGCAATTCGAGATGTGAAAAAATGGTCACCTCGAATGAGAGAACCAATGGAAAAAATCTATGGTGTTGATGGTTTTCCAAAATTATGGTCTGATTGGGTTGATATTATGACGTTAATCTATAAGGAAAAGAAGGGAAATATTTGTATGGAAGAGGTAGAAAAAATTTCTTGTCCAACTTTAATTGTTCATGGTAAAAAAGATCCAATGATTTCTCCTGAGCATGTTCCGTATTTAAAAGAGAAAATAACTAACTGCAGGTAAGCTAATTTAGTATTAGTATAAATATTTCTGGGAATATCACTATCTTAATCTGTGTCTTTTAATGCTTATTTCAACATTGTTTTTCAGTTATTACGAGTTCCCAGAAGGAAAACATAATATACATTTACGTTATGCTGAGCAATTCAACAAATTAGTATCAGAATTTATAAAAAGATAATCGCTGTTATATGCTATGTTTTTTATATTTTTCAGAAAATTTTTCTAAGTAATAAAGATCTAGATTTTTTAATTTTATTTTCCTAGTTTTTGGAGACCTAATAAATCAAAATTAGTATATGCTATTTACATTTTGGGAATTAGAAATAGTAGTAACACACCATTAACAGTAAAAGTATTCAGCAGTATCTGACACGATATTAATACGCTCACAATTCTTTTCGAGCTAATATTCAAAACATTATTTTTAGAAGAAAACTTTTGCGACTGCATCATAGATGTCTTAAGGAAAATTTGTTTAATTGATAATAGAGAATGCAAAGAAAGGATTTTTCGTAAAAAGGATTTTTCGTATTTACTTTTTCAACTATTATATTTTACCGTTTGGCAAAGGTATTTTGTCACAATTTTTACCAAAGAATATTTACACATGCAAAAATTTTCCTTTTTTTAGCCAAGTACTTTTTTCTAATGTTCGAAAAAAATTGGGAATTTTATAAATTATCAGTAGTATATAAACTTCTATATTACACTTTCGCATGAAATGGTATGAAGATATTTCGAAGTAAAAACAGAGTCATCTCGTGGCGGATGATCTAATGACTTACAGTAAATTTTTGTTAACCAGTATATTTTAAACGTTTAGCAGTTGTCTCTAATTTTTTTAATATCTTCATTTTTAGTAATATGCAAACTTAAAAAAAAAAAACAAGTGCCATCTATGTGAAAGTAGTTACATTATTTTACTTGAAGTCCTACCCAAATGCTCTTTATCAATAAGTGCGACATATATTAGAAAAAATTCAAACCTAAAAAGTTTTTTTTTTGAAGGAATAGAAAGGATTACGTATTAAAAATCTTTTTATTGAATTAATGAAGAAAGTGTAGTTGCTTACCAAATCTATAATGATCATAGCAATGAAGGGATATGGTTATAAATCTAACTTAGAAGGACATTAAACGCAGCTAGAAATTTATTAAAACAGAAGGAATCTAAAAAACTAATTGGAGGGCTGCAAATTTATCAGATGTTTTATATAAAAATCACGCAAAACAGAAGACTAAAAGGGAAGAAATGAATATTCACACATCGTATTAACATACTAATTTCACAATTTTTCAGCAAAGCTGACAGGAAAGTGCAAATTGCAGCAGCAAGGAACCTTTCAATATTTTTTCTCTTAAATTCTTGTAGAACATATGATTAATATGGCAGTTTTAAAGGAACAATGACAAAATTTTTTAATACATACTGATTTCTGCAGATATGACGTATCGGCATCGACGATTATATTAACTGTGTTAAATAACATGAAAAAAAAATTTATGAATAAAATTTTCTTTTACTAAGTACAACATGGTATTATAGTTAGTTAACAGTAATCTATGTACATACATACATATATAGCCTACATTATAATAATAGGGAACCGATTTTATTACCACCTATATCACATAACTTAAAAGTCACTAGATTAACGGTTATGTTTTTTGATTAATATAAAAATCTTAGATCTTTATGCAATTATGTGTGAATGTATGTATATTTTGAATTGAATATAGTATAACATTAATTGATTTCGTGCATGTTTATTGTAATTCTCAAATTACACAGTTATTTCAAAAAATCATTAGGTCATATTAAGCTTTCCTTCATTTTTTCTATTATTTACATGCATATATAATATTTACGCGGATATTTATATTTATACATACATACATTTTGTATCTGTTATTTTTGTTTTTCTTTAAGCATGTAATATTTAATGACCCTTACACTTCATATAGTTCATACTACTATACCCAGGTAGAGGAAAAGTTTCAAACCCCTTGTATAGTTGAATTTCGTGTAAATTGTAATTGCATGTGGCCTGTTTCTTTTTTTTTATTTTTTTTGTATGATTCTATTTTTTGCTAAAATTTTATAAAATTATATTTTTTGTAGTTCGTCAATATTAAAATATTTTCATATACAGTTAATTATATTACGGTGGTTAAGTTTGTTTCTTTTTTTTTAACACCCTCTTTTTGGTAATTTGTTTTTCTTTTTAGACATTAATGTTAAAAAATAATAATAAATCAAGTGAAAAAATATTAAACACATGTTATTGTTCAATATATGTTTGTATAAGTACATAGTCAGTGGCGTAATTGACACATAGGTAGTGTTGTGAAGGTAGAATATGTGAGGCGTAATTTGGAAAAAATCTCTGATATTAAGAAAATATTTTTTTAAAATTTTTGAAAACGACAATTGTATAATTTCACATACTTAATCATCTTATTAAGAGAAAATTTTTAATTAAACTTTATCTTTTAATTAAATTTAGTTAGATTTTCAACTACATAAAATTTTAGGAAATTTTTTCAATTGAAATTTTAACAAAATTTATTGCATATTGTTATAGGCGACCATTTCAATAAAAAATGTAAATATGGTAGCATAATTTATTCTGATTTATAATAAAAAACAGCCTAATCGTGTTACTCGCATTTTTACTCAATTTTTGCTCAATTTCAAATCAGAATACTCCGTTTTTCTAATTAATGTTTCATATTTCTATTGAAATTACTAATTTTTTCAATTGGATTTTTGTATATTTTTTTCAAATTGTAGAATGATCGTCTCACTTTCAAAAACAAATTGAATGAATTTTGTTTACGTTTTAGAAATAGACGAGATAAATTGCGTATTACCATAAAATTCTTCTCACTTGTAGCCAGAAATTACATTATACAAATAAATGATAGTTATTCATTTTCTTCTCACTTGCCGAATAAAATAGCGAATTAGACTATAACAGACTTTGAAATTTTAACTGAGACAAGAAGTTTTAGAGTATAAGCAGAATTGCATTACCATAATTTTGTTTGACTCATTTTGTAGAAATAATAAAATTATAATTTCCCTCTCTTCCCAATTTAAGTGTACAATTAATAATAAGAAGTTTTAATAAAAATCTTTGCACGTCACTGATTTTTTTTTTTTTTTCATTATATTACATTGAAATTTTGTATTATTAACTATGTACTCGTATACGATAAGTAATTTAAGTTCTTGCGATAAGTTGCGTATAAACTTGCAACACTGTTACATACCCATAAACATATACATATAAGTATATTATTGTTATATATAGAAATAAATCATAAATTATGCGTATATAATAAAAAAAATATACGTACATAGTAATTTAAGCGAATCCTTTCTGTAATTGCAAGAAATTTTAAATAATAAAACCAAGAGGACATTATATCAAAAAACAATAACTTTGCAAAAAATAGAATTTTGAATTTCAATAAAATTTTTTTGAAAAAAATTTATTAGAAAATTAAACTGAGAGATTTTGGAAATTTGAAACACAATTCTTATATTTTACAATTAGTAAACAAATTTACCTTAATTTTTCTTTAAATCGTAAACATTTGGACAAGCATGAATTGTGTATTCTGTTGTACATATATTTGTATATAACTACAAGTTTTATTTTTACAAAAAAAAAAAAAAAAAAAATAGTATAATTGTTATAAATTAACTAGTTACATAACGCTAAAAAGGTGTTTTTTTCAATATCGTATTAAAAAAGCAGCAAAGAACAAAAAAAAGGACATTACAATTATACGGATACCGTAAACATATACCCACATATACATATATTCATAAATAAGGTATATGAAATGATGAATGTTATAAAAAATTTTCGAATTTAATAAGAGCAACAGGAAAATGTACACGAAAAAATAAGTATTAAAGTATCCAACCCTCCTCTTTTTAAATATTGTGCATTGATTGTTTTGATTTGAAGTAAAAATTGAATTAAATTATGTGTTGTTGGTTGTGATTATTATATATATATATTAGATTACAATCATTGACATGCTTAATTTACATGAAAAAAATAATATGTAATCGTTATTTTTTTAGTTGGTATAAAAAAAAAAATTATAAATAAATAAATAAAAATTTCGAATTTCTGTAGTATAGGGAAAAAATTACTAAGAATTTGACAATTACTTTGTTCGATTTATGTATATATGGAGTGCAAAAATAAAATTTTATATAAATGGTTTTTATTTACTGTTGGTACGTACATGATTTCAATTTATTTTTAAAAATTATTTTTGTAAATATTGATGTTAAAATCCAAAATATATGAATAAGATTCAGGTGCGGTGAATTGGAAGGATTTGATTAAATTGATATTTTTGCAAAGTTTATGGAAAATGGCCAGTCAGAATAGGAATAGGTCGAACTGCTGATATTGAAGAGAAGAGTTGGAGAAATTCGCTGAATTTTAAATGACTTCATCACAATTGCAAATTCAAAGCATCTGACCTATTTTTGTTTTTATGTCCTTGGAAAAACTATTTCAAATTTCCTATTAAAAATCTAACAATTCTGTTGTTTTACTCTTTATATTACGTATAACTATTGTGTTACTTGACCTCTATAAGGGGTTATGTATAAGCATTGGAAATTTCCGAAATTTTTTGCATGGCAAAGTAGACTGGTTTCTTTTTACCATGATTTCTAATATTCAATGTATGCTTGCTTTATGTGTAACTGCAATAAAAATTTCTTATATAATCTGTTTAAAAATTTACTGAAAAAGCCTTATTTGTAAAGCGTTCTTTGATAAGAGATGATTTTTAAAAAAATTGAGAGCAAAGAACAGAAAGGTTAGGTGACAAAACTGTAAATAACTAAATTTTGAGAAAAAATCGGAATGAGAAAAATTTATTTTACTTGGCCCTTATTAAACTTTGTATTGTAGCACTTTTCCCTTCAACAAGTGAAAATATTGCGTTTACATACAGTCGATGTGTAACTACCACACTAGTAAATTTATTTTCATTCATATACGAAACTATTTCTTGAATTGCAGAATTTGATTATTTAGGATGAGCGATTTTTGCAGACCGAAATAGAGCAAAAAATAAATTTAAAGACGGATTAACATAACGCTTGGTTTTAAGGCTTAATTGCCTGAGTTAAGAAAGATAAGCTTGCGGTTTCGGAAATATAAAACGCTGAGAATTCAAATTTTACAAATTTCAATAGTCGATAACTTATAGAA